CCATCTTCGATAGCATGAAACCCAATCAAGCAATGTAAATCCAAAGTGAAAATTGTTCGTGCCTCCTCCCCTCTTTGGTAAAAGCATCTCATGCTTACTCCACCTTAAAAGTGGAACGTGCCCTTTTTGTGTGCAGAGACTGCCCAAAGTGGGCCCCCTGATCTTTCCAGGGAGGGAATGTAAGCAGATCCCTGAAGAAACCACTCAGCTCAGCAATTTTAGGCCTTGTTGTAATTGGCCTGGCCTAAAAGAACTCAGCAAACTGCATGTGTGCCAAGGAAAATGCAAATGCTTCCCTGAAACAGGCGTTTAGGGTGGGTGAGAGAAGAAGGCTCATCTGTGAACCCATGAGAAAAGCAAGACAGACAGAAAATTCAGGAAATCAGAGAGGCTCCTTAGGGACCATTTCTTTCACTTAGCCACGGGTGGTGGCCACACCAACAGAACTGGTCAGACCAGGCAGGGCGAGAGGGGTCGAGTGGGGAAGATCTTGAGTAGGAGGAGTTCTTCTTCCATCATGAGTCTCGCTTGTTTCCCTTGAGAGGTAGAGCTGGTCTTCTTGCCCAGTCTGGCTCCCCATGGATTGCCTCCATGGTCCCTTGCTGGGCTCAGCATCTACCACCATCCTCTGGAGCCTGGGAAGTTGATGGGGGTACTGCTTACTCCTGATTCTCTATGGCTTCTCACATCTTTTTTCTGTAAAAACTAGAAACCCAGTTTTGTATGTCTGCTATTTTTCTCCACAGTGCCCTGGAATTCTCTCCAGTTTCTTTCATGCTTGGCTGCCCTCTCCTCGTTCCTCTTTATTTGTGACCTCCATGAGAGTGGGCCCCCGTCGTCCCGACTGCATTCCTAGTGCTTACCATGGCCGTTGGCCCATAGTAGTTACTAGGCAAATGACTGTTAATTGCCTAATAGTAATACAGATTACTATGGGATATTTGACAACGTGATTTCTTAGTAGTGTTTTATTTCTATTTCTGTGACGTAGCTGAGCATATGGGAGGTGTTTAGTCAACACTGGACGGATTCAGATTTTTCTGATGAATGAACAGTCTTCCACAGCCAAAAAGTACTCTTGACTGCTCTCCTCTGAAAAATGAGCTAGTCAGGGTCAGCTGGGTGGCTTAGTTGGTTAAGCATCTGATTCTTGATTTCAGCTCAGGTCCTGTTCTCGGGGTCATGGGATCAAACCCCCAGTCGCGCTCTACTCTCATTCTCTCTCTCCCTCTGCCCTTCCCCCTGCTCGCGCGCGCTCTCTCTCTCTCTCTCAAATAAATAAATAAAATAAATATTTTTTAATAAAAGGAAAATGAGCTAGTCAGAAAAATGGAGAAACCAAGTCCTGTGATGAGTCAAGCTTCCTTGCTGCCTCTTGCACTCACATCTTTTCTGGGCCTAGGTCTCCCTTCCCCTCATCATGCAGCCTTATCCCCACCTCTCACCATCTCTTGAGACCCAACATGGTCTTGGAAGCAGCTCTTGGACCTCCCTGGAGGCTCTCTTTTCACTTCTTTCAACCTTTAAATTTCCCTTACCAATCTCCTGTTTCTCTTTCCCCCTCCATCCCTAACCTCTATGTCCTTTCCCTCAACCATTTCATGCCCTCTGTCCCCTCTACTCAAACACAGGTGCATTCTTGAATGCGCTGTTTTTCTCATCTGCCACCCTCACCAGCTTTCCACTTGAATTTACAGCCCTGTTCTGGGTCCCCACATGCAAGCTGTTCCAGAAACAGGCCGCTTGCCAGGACCTCAGAGCTCATGGTACTTCTTCCTCACCCACAGTTTTTACCTTGTTTAGTTATCTTGCCTCTAGTCTGCCGTCTCCCACCTTGCACTGGAAGGCTTGCACACACATGCAAAAGGCAGTGTAACACACAACAATTTCACCTGCGCTTTTACCAGTAATGTGTAGAATTAGAGGTGATATTTTAACTAGAGATGATATTTTTAAAATTTACTCTAGTTCTGACTTTTTAAAAATCCTGATTCACTTTAGGTTCTGTATTTATACTAATGGTTCCATTTTTCTTTTTCCGTGTTTCCTTGACTTGCTGTTGCATTCTGAATGTGTACCTTTTGCTTACTCCACGTTAGAATGGCCTGTGATGAAATTAGCTTAGAGGTGGCTTTCAAACTGAGATCAGTTTGGGGAAGATATGGAATGAATTCAAACAGGAGGGGTGGGGGCGTCCAACAAGAAGACTTCTAAACCTCTTTTTTAAAACCTGAGATTCTCCTTAAACTGAAGAGAACGTAGGAGTTTTTCCTTTTCCTTTGTGTTGTCCCCTCTACAGAAGGGCATTTGCCCCACCTAGGAGGTGCTTAAATACTGGAATTAGCTGAGACAGTGAAAATAAATAGTGCTGTTCGAGGGAGAAAGAGGACAGGCAGCAAGGCCACTCTGGACGGAGGTGATCTTTGAACGTATTAGGTCGTGAGATCCCTCTATAGGAGTCCAATGCTTTGTGTGCGGATTGCGCGTGTTTCTTTTCTCCAGCTTTTCCTTTCAGGCCTCAGGTTGATCATAGAACCAGAGGGAACCCCAAGGGTGGTTGCAGTCCCATAGGTCTGTGTGCATGGCCCCCTCTCCTTGACCAGAAAACTTGCTCTTCTAGCCTTCTCCAGACAGAAAGTGATCTTTCCAGTCTAGGGTTGAGCTAGCAGAATGTTTTCCTTCTAGTGAGTCAAATAGCACTCTTTTTGAAATTTCTCCCCATTGGCTCCAGTCTATTCCCTGATGCTCAGCAGAGCAAAATCCCGTCCCTTTTCTGAGAGCCCTTTGGACAGTGGAGGACAAACATTATTTCTGATCTGGAGTTTTACCTTCATCTGCCCGAACACTTCCAGTGTTCCCAGTTCCTCATCACGTGATTTCCGGTCTTTTCTATGCTCTGGTTCCTCTCCTTTCAGTGGACTCCCATTTTGTCTAGCACAGGGTCAGAATGGGGTGCTCTGGCCAGCCATAGCAGGACGCTTTCTCACCCCATCCATCCTCCTGTTTGTTCTCTAGCCCCTGACACGGTGCCCGTCATGTGCCCGACCCCGTGGTATGTTCTCCTTGAACAGAATCTCCGGGCTCCTACTCCATCCTTCACACCATTCCTATCCCCCAAAGCCCTCAGTTCTAGATCTATCTGCATGAAAGGGATTTTTGTTTGTTTGTTTTTGCAGCTTTCCTTGAATTCTCCAAATCCTCATTGCTGTTTTATACTTGACTTGAGTTTATAACGAAGTGTAAGTGTCTCCGGGGCTGGTTGCTTTTTTTCCTATTTAGCCCAGAGCCCAATATAGGTCTGAGAAACAGATCTTGAGTCTGTGATCAGGAACCATATCACGAATCAACTTATCATTCTCCTCCTTTTGGTGGCACATAGCTCCTGTTGTCTCGGGTGTTTGTTTTGTCTTTATGCCTTTAGTGTCTGCATTGATTATGGAAAAAGAGTCCGTGAGGAAGGTTTTTAATACATGGAGTTTTACGGTTTTATTCCAAGCTCAGTCTTCCCACATCACTCTGTACAGAGCTGCCACCAACATCAAGGAGCGAGTGGAATTTAGTAGGGATCAGTGGGAAGCAGCTTGAGATTGGTTTGCTGAAACTAATATGGGATGCTTTCAGTTGACCCCCCGGCTAGAGTTCCCTTGCCAGGACAGCTAGAAGAGTCGATGAGGCAATGTGATATGGTGAGAAGAGCTCTCGGCTTAAACAGATTTAGGTTTGATCCCTATCTCTGCCACTTATTTCATGGTCTGTTAACCACTGTGACCTCAGTTTTTCCGTCCATAAAATGGAGTTAACCTAACCTCACAACCAAGGTCTCAGAACTGGTATGATGGTGGAATGACGTCACAGGTCACAGCCCACATGGCGAGCTCTGGCCAGGGCGCTGCTGTCCTTCTTCAGAGTGTCTTTATTCCATCCCTACTGCCAGTCCCTGGTTCTGGGAAAATAAGGAGCCCAGTAACAACCCCAATAGGCCATTGGTTGTTTTGACATTCTGCACGATGACGAATTCTCTCCTGCAGGCTGTCTGGGACTTTCTATCTATGTCATACCCAGGGCACTGTCCTCATGGCTGGGGAGTCAATCAGTGCTCCTAATCGTGCCACTCATGGCCCTGCACTGGGGAAGGTCAGTGAGCATCATTTCCCATTCTCTCCAGAGACAGAGCATATAGTCTAGACACACCGGGCAGGGGGAAGGCAGGAAAGCTAAGCCCTTAGCTCCACTGATAGTTTTCCTAGTGCCTCGGACACCTTACTTGGCTATGTGAGCCTCTGATTCTGTTTGCAGAAAAGAGTAATTAATATATTTGATTTCCTACCTGCCTGCCAGGGTAAGAGAGAATGAATGAGACTGTACCTCTATGGAGAAAGTTACTGTTTGGACATACCTGTTTCCATCAAGGTGGGGAGCGGTAAATTGCCAGGTTCCAAAAGGCCGTGCACCCACACTGGGGAGAATCCTGGAGGCTGGACCTTCACTCTGGTCAGAGGACGGAGACCACGCCTGTCTCTGCAGAACAGCCCCATGTGAATGTCTGACTTTATGATACATTTGTGCGGGTGAGGGAATTGGACACGAGGTGCAGGCAAATGGTTGCCAATCACGGCTTCCCATACAGAGCCTACGCGGCGCGAGCCCATGACTCATGCCACACTCACCTGGGCTCAGAGACCTCCAGGCACGGAGAGCTCTGTCTCCCCCAGAATATTCCCCTGATGAATGACGGAGGGTTTCAGCTCTGCACTTCACACAGAGACACAGAGGCCCTTCTTCCTGGTGGAGCCCGACTCCCCCCCGCAACCCCCCAACCCCATGCCTGCGCTCTGCTCTTGGCCCTCCTCCCTCCAAGGCTCCAGCCCAGCTGTGTCCTGCCTTGCCATGCCCCGCATCTCCCACAAGGGGGAGCCCCCGGAGGGCAGTGGAATTTTGGAAGCTCAAGTTTTCTCCTCCTGTCCTCTGATTTTCGCGCTTGACCCAACTGTGAGATTTCTTTGTTGCAATGTTGGGGTCTGAAATAACACTTCTGGAGGCTGCGGCTGAGCACCACAGCTGATGCCATCTTGTATTGTTTGTTATTAATTACCTAGCATGATCCACAAAGAAGGAAAAGTAACAAAGAGCTTGAAGACTTTCATGGCTCCCAGGCCCTGGATGGAGGCAGGCGGCCTCAGACAGGCAGAACCAAGGAGGTGCCCGTGACTGCACAGCCCAGGTAGGTGCCCGGGAGAGGACGATGGAGGGGCTCACAGGAGTTGGGGGTGTCGAGAGGCACAGAGTCCCCTGATGGTGGGAGGGTGGGTGGAGTAGACAAGGGGTAGTCAGGAGAGATTAAGGGGGGAAAGGCAGTGCAGAGAGACTGAGGGAGAGCAGAGGGAGGCACCCCAAAAAGGAGTGCAGAAGAACAAAAATGTTCCTAGGATGTGATGTGGAAGGCTGACTGCGGAGCCAGAGCCGGAGAGGGAGGGCTTGTGAACTGACTCAGACTTAAACTAGCTTGAAGTTGGTTCCAACTCTGCCGCCCAGAAACTTCACAGGACAGGAGAGGCCGAGTCTGAGAGCTGGTGCTCAGCTGTCCAAGAAGATTCAGAGCGGGTCGGTATATGCCTGAAAGTCTATCTAAGCCCGGGCCTTGTGTGTCATGTAGCCACACCCACTCCGGACTCTGGACTTTCTAAACTGGAAGAAATTCTGGTCTGATGGCCTTTTCAGGTTCTCTCTGCTCCCAGCTACTGTCTCAGACGGTCCCCTTCTTCCCTCCAGGCTCCCGCAGTTGCTCTGGGTAATGGACCAGGAGTCAGAAGTGCTCACTCTGCCACTTAGCCAGATTAGCTTAAGCAAGGAGACATCAGAATCCCCTTTTTCTTTGTCTATAAAAGGGAGATAATAATACATTACTGATGAGCCTTATAGGATTTTTCTGAGGATTGAATAAGTAAGATAATGTGAATAAATGCTCCTAATAGATTATAATTGCTAGCTAAATAAAAGATGGCATTAATAATAATTAATCAGTTAATATACCCTTACACTTCTCAGTGGGGTATTTTCCTACTGAGCTTTGGAGGAACGTGCGTGTACTATTTGTGGGAAAATTTAAGTATATGATCCCTAATTGCCACATCCCTTTTTAGAGTAACCTCTTTGGCAGTTAAGTGGGAAACTTTGTGTTCTTTCCCTTTTAGCCACCTTCAGACATTCTCTTTCCCTGGTCTCAGCTCCACTTTCCTAGTTCGCAAACATGCAGATAATGATTGATGGTGTCTGCTTGGCTATCTGGACGAGGGATTTGTCTGTGTCATCGACACTGTGCTGCTGGCATACATGTCACAATGTGTCTCAGGCACCTGATCAGACTTGACTTGGAAGAAGCAAATAAGAGGCTGTGTTTATAATCCCATTGCCATATTCCCTGCGTGGAATGTTCTTTTCAGACTACTTGTTACTTACTCATTAAAATATCTCAGATGGGAAAATGGGGTCTGTGCTCTGGGTCAGGCTCTTTCAGTCAACCTACGAAGGCTGGAGTTGGCTTTGGTACCTGTGGACACATTCACCCTTTCTTTGGGTTCCAGAGGCAGCGTGGTGTATGAGGAAGGTAGTGTAGACCGTGGATAAATCCCTTGACCTCCTTGAGCCTTCTCTTTCCATCTATCACATGAAGTTGCTACTACCCTTTCTTAGTGCATCCAACTATACCTGTGAGGCACACATGAGATTACACCAGAACACTCCAGAAGTTTGTAACTCTACAGCATTATATAATTATAAGGCATTGTAAGTGTTCTGTTGCATGTCCCTTACTAGTGACCTCCCCATATTTTTAATTATTTTAAAAGCTGCCGTCCCTGATGTTCATGTATTCTCCTATTTCTTTTCTTCTCCCCCAACTAATAAATTAAATATCAATAGAGTGTTAAGTTTAAGTCATATGCCTACTCCCCTTCAAAAAGTTTGTATGCTCTCTAAAGCATGTGCCTAGCTGCATAATAGGTCCACAGACTGTATTTTTCTAAAGCCACTATACACGTATATATACGTTCCTTCTTTCCAGCAGGTACTTATTCCCCTTTTAATACAAAATACATGCAAATGTAGATTTGAGAAAACACATGGGCTGACATTCATGCAGCATACTCACTCAGAGAGCACAGTTAATGGGGAAGAGGAATGAGCACAGCACCGTATCAGCATTTCAGCAACTCTGGAGTCCAGCAGTGACCGCAATACGCACTTCATGTGGTTAAAAAAAAAAAAATCATGGATCAATTTCTTCCCTGTTCCTAGTAATGAATATCAATACTGCCTCTTCCAGACAGATGCTCAGCAGCTCCAGATATTTTTAAATGAGTTTTTTTCAAACACATTTGCAAAGTCAATTATTTTGAATCTCATCTGAAGCAATTAAAAAAAAAAACATCCTGACATTTCAGGTGATATTTTTTCCCAAGTAAAATAATTATAAATAATACTAATTATGAACAGATCATTCAGTTACTCTCAGCCTGGTTCAACCTTTAGGTTAATAAACCAATCCATTAAAATTCATCTTGCTCAAAGGACCAATTTGTTAAAAAATGTAGTGACCTTTCACCACAAGTATGATGGATATTTTCTTTAACAATAATCAGAGTTGTCTTTCCCAGAAGAGAGTGTGGCCAAGTGGCAGACGTGGTCAACTAGGGGTCTGGTAATACTTCTAGATTAGGTACAAAGTGATGTTTGTAATGATGAAGATGAATGGACAAAATGGAAATTCTGTTTCAAAAACTACCTTAAAGAGAAGTCTGAAAATCTCAGGACGATTGCTCAGAAAAACTGACAGTATCATTCTTCACAGCAGGAAGGATTTTAGATATGCCCCTCTGTCTTCCTCTGGTGTTCATTCTGTCCAAAGATGTAGGGCAGGGATTTGCAAATAGGGCTCATGGGCCAAATCCAGTCTGCTACCTCTTTCTGCAAATAAAGTTTTATCGGAACAAAGCACAGCTCTCCATTCCCATATTGTAGTGGCTGCTTGCCTACTCCAAAGACAGTCCAGTAACCACAACAGGGTCCTAAAATACTTATTATTTGGCCCTTTACAGAAAAACTTTGCCAACCCCAGTTGTAAGATGATAAAAAAACAAGTTATCTTTGAATTTAACAGCACCAGCTAATATTTGAACAGCACCTTACAGTTTATCAAGTCTGTTATTTTGTAACAGTATTATTATCCTCCTGTCACTGATGAAGACATTACAAACTTTCCCATGGCCGTTTGGCCATTAACTGGTGTAGGTAGACCTTGACCTTCCGAAGACAGAGGGTGCTGCCCTGAGGGCCGCCATTGGAGCAGCAGTGGAGGTGGCTCTCAAGCCACAGTCACAGTTGCCTGTCTCTTTCAGCCACCCAGATGTGGTCCTTGCCATAGGAGAGGAGAGGAAGCGATACTCCTGACATTCCGTTCCCTCTTATCTGATCTTGGCCTGGGTGATTTTACACTCGTTCTGCGTCTGCATCCCTCTTCTCATCATCAGAGCGATACTAATAAACAGAAAGGAGGAAAACAAATGCTTTGCAGTCAAACAAAGCTAAGCTTTATTGCCTCAACTCTCACTTATCCATACTGAAGGAATGTATCCGCCCCAAAATTGGCACCGTGGTATGGATATTCTGCAACAAGCAGAAACAGAGACGTCTTTGTTTTTGGAATATGCTCTTTTTTTTCTTTTAAGTTTGCTTTTTGAAATGGCAAATCCCCTCTTAATTACACACTGCTTTTACTCGGTTTATTATCAAAATTATACTCCCCCCCACCCGCCCCGAGCTCGTTTCATCTACTAGCAAGGTGAGCCATAAGGTGCTAGATATTAGGAACAAGGAAGCCTGGAAGGAAGACCTTGACTTTGAGATCCAAACACGTTGTTTGCAGAGACCAAAGGTTTTGTTAACTTTAATGCTTTCTTGGAACAGAAGTAAGGGAGACAGTAAGAGAGACGGCAGTAAGACACTCCTATGTCAACCTTCCCTGAAGGTTCCAAGCCAAAGATGAGGATTGAAACAACTGAGCTATTTCACTTTTTCCACCCAACCAAAATCTGGAGTGCCCACTGTGGTAGGTGCTTCAAGGAGTGGAAGGAGTATCACGTTGACTAAGCTCCAGATACTCTACTAACTGATTTATTGGAGAAACAAACATGTGCATTTGTGTCTATAGTACAAATCAGAAATAAGTAACAGAATGGAAGTACAAACAAAATCCTAGTGTGCTCAAAGGAGAAGTTGTTTCTTCTTATTAGACAGTCACTGAAGATCTTGTGGAAGAAGTTTGCATTTTCTGAGACCTGAGCATGTATGGGTTTTAGGCATTTGGGAATGGAAGTAGGTGGGCGTTCTAGGAGCAAGCAGAGAGAACAAAGTCATAGAATAAAGCATAGGACTTGTGTGTGATCAGAAAACCATTCACTCCATTTCAAGCATCTGGTTACATAGGAGTGGAGGAAGATAAGGTCAGCAAAATAGGTCAGAGTCAGATTCTAGAGGGCCTTGAAATGTAGGTTAAGAAGTTTGGTCCTTACTATGTGGATGATGAGAATCCATGTTTTTCTGCAGAAAAATTGCATGATCATACCTGTGATCTGGGAGAAGATGTAGTAGATGTTTGGAAAGGTCTTGGAGACCAGGTCACCAGTGAGCAGCTAAAGCAATGGCCAGGTCGGATGAAAAGTTTACACCTTCATCTTCTGCTCTCCTCAAGAGACAGCTCCTCTATAACCTGATTATAATAGGTTATAGCCCTGGCTGAGGGCTTTCTGAGGCCACTTACTTAATGGCATGCCAGTGGCATTTACTCATAAAACCAAAAAGCCATTGGGGCCAGAAATAGGGGTTTTGGTTACTTCCCCAGACAGGATGCAGTTGGGGTGATTATACATGTGATTCATTGAGGTTGGGAAACAAGCCCTCCACAAACAAACACCCCTCCCCTCCAAGCCCAGTGACTCACAGCTTCTTCAGCTTGGAAAGCTCTGGAGTCCAGGCAAAATTTGAGGTATGATGTTAAATCACAATTCTTCAGTGTTCATTGTTATAAGAGAAATATTTTTATTCATTCTTTCAGTTGTTCAAGCCAGGAGCATTGATTGAACTCTTACTACTTTAGGCACGGAGAATGTGGAGTTGCAAAACATGGTCCCCGACCTAAAATCTTCCCCAGTTTATCTGGGAAAACAG